CTTTCCACAGAACAACTGTGTCAACTCTTGAAACTGTGCCTGCAGTCAACCTACTTCACATATGGGGAGCAATATTATAGGCAGAAACATGGGTGTGCTATGGGGTCTCCAGTTTCTCCTATTGTTGCCAACCTGTACATGGAGGAGGTAGAAAAGAGAGCCTTGACGTCCTTTTCAGGGACACCACCAAGTCATTGGTTCAGGTATGTTGACGACACCTGGGTTAAAATTAAATCTCAGGAAGTCCAACATTTTACTGACCACATCAACTCTGTGGATAAATACATCAAGTTCACACGAGAAGATGTAAAAAATGGCAGGTTGGCTTTCTTGGACTGTGAGGTCTCAGTCTCTGATAGAGGACATTTGCAAACTGAGGTGTACCGCAAACCCACCCACACAGACCAGTATTTGCAGTTTGACTCCCATCACCCTTTGGAGCACAAGTTAGGAGTCATCAGGACTCTGTACCACAGAGCAGACAGCGTCCCCACTAGCTCAGGAGCCAGGCAGAAGGAGAAATCCCACACAAGACAGGCTCTAGAGCAATGTGGATATCCTAACTGGGCCTTCCTGAAAGCAGAGAAGAAACCCAAACAGGACTCCAGTCAGCCAACAGGTGAAAAGGAGGAACCCAGACCCAGACCAGTGGTCATTCCATATGTTGAGGGAGTATCAGAGAAACTGAGACGTTTATTTTCTAAACATAACGTCCCAGTGGCTTTTAAACCCCAAAATACATTACGGCAAAGACTGGTTCATCCCAAAGATCCAGTCCCCCGGCACAAACAGAGTAATGTTGTGTATGCTGTTCAGTGTCAGGAGGGCTGTGATCAGTCTTACATCGGGGAAACAAAACAGCCACTGGCCAAAAGGATGGCCCAGCACAGAAGATCAACATCATCAGGCCAGGACTCTGCGGTCTACACTCATCTCCAGGTCAGCGGTCACTCTTTCAGGGATGAAGATGTGCACATCCTGGATAGAGAGGAACGATGGTTTGAGAGAGGAGTAAAGGAGGCCATCTTTGTGAAAAGAAATCGTCCATCATTAAACAGGGGTGGAGGCCTACGTGTTCAATTGTCCCCCTCTTACAATGCTGTGATTGCTAGTATCACTCAGCCCTCTGTGAATAGTACACAGCCATCAGTGTGCTAATGATCCATTGTTAGGCTGATGGTCCTTCTTGAGCATGTGATCAGTTGGTTTTGGTTGTCAGCAGCAAAACTGGTTGATCCACCCTGAGAAGGTGCTATTTAAGAGACTGAGCTGAAAACAGCACCTCAGACTGAAGAAGTCTCTCGGACGAGAGACGAAACGTTTCTACATTTTTTGTTGTTTTGCTTTGTTTTGGGTTTTTTTAATGTCCAGAGGACCAGATTTAACTTTTTTAGATTTTTCTACCTGGATTATTGAGCATGCATCAGGATATCTTAAAAGTTACACATGTTCAACATTAGTACTGTAGTCTACATTAGGTAAGAAACCCTCAATGTCATATTATTTTTTTTTAGCTCTTAGCCAGCCTTTTATCACTTAAAGTTAACCTTTTTAAACTTTAAGCTAGTGTTTATCTACTTTTAGTTTTGAGTCAACTCTTATCTTTTAAAACTTTTAGTCCTGGCAGGACTTTAAATATTTTTAATTAGCTTTTTGCTACTTTTAGCTAAAGTTTTGACAATTATAATTTAGTTAAGTTTTTGTTGCGTTTAGCTAATCTTTTTGTAAATTTTTGCCATTTTTCTTTTTTAACTAACCTTTCGCATCCTTTAGCTAACATTTTAATGCTCCTGCAAGCACCTTACAAATGTTGGATGCTGTCTATCATGGTGCACTAAGATTCATAACTGGCTATAACTACCTTACCCATCACTGCACCCTGTATTCACTGGTTAACTGGTCATCATTAACTTCACATAGACTCTCTCACTGGTACATTTTCATCTTTAAATCACTTCTTGGTCTGTTGCCTTCATACATCTCCTACATGTGAGTGCAGCTACAGTGTGCACTCTCAGGACATTATTACCTGCAGTGTTCCCTCAGTGTGGACTGAACTAGGCGACGGGGCCTTTTCCTACTCCGCTCCTGTTTCCTGGAATATCTTGCAAAAATATCTGAAGCTCTTGACCTTGACCTCTCTAAGGGATTTTAAACATCTGTTAAGTTAATGGCATAAACCAATGTAGACATGTTCCTGTTTTTGGTCTTTTACATCGCTTTATAATGTAGCCGTTTGTGTTTCTTTTTTTATTATTTCTTCCATTTACTTTTCATTTTATATGCTTTTTTATGATTGTCTACTGTTATCTGTGTTGTTTTAAACAGGTCTCTCTTGAAAATGAGTCCTCAAGGCTCAGTGTGACTAACCTTTAAATAAGGTAACCTTTAAATAAAGGTTGAATTAAATTCAATTTAGCTATTTTTTAGTTAGCTATAAGACTTGGAGTTTGAGCAAGCTTTTTGCTACTTTTAGCTTGAAGCTAGCATTTCAATGCTTTTAGCTATCATAGCTAGACTTTTGTTACTTTTAGTTGATATTTTTCTTATTTTGACTTCATTCAGATTTTGCTTCTCTTGGCCTTTAGCCAATGTTCTGATTTTTTACTTTTATCTAATTTTGTTAGTTTAGTGGGGGGGGGTTTCCTTTAACAACTTTCGGCTTGTTCAATTTCTCATTCACACATTTCTTTTCCTGTTTATACCAACAAAGTCCATGCTCAGTAATCCAGGTATAAAATCCAACAATTTTAAGTCAGGTCATCTGGACAGTTTCTTTTTTGTGTGTGTGCTGAAACGTTTCACTTTCCATCCAGAAGGCTTAATCAGTCAAGGAAACACAAAACACACAAAAAATAAACTGTCCAGAAACCAGATGCCCGAGCCACCTCAGCTGGCTCCTCTCGATGTTGAGAAGCAGCCCCTCCCGTATGACCGAGCTTCTCACCCTATTTCTAAGGGAGAGCCTAGACACCCTGCGGAGAAAACTCATTTCAAACGCATGTATCCTTGATCTCGTTCTTTCGGTCACAACTCAAAGCTCATGACCATAGATGAGGGAGGAACGTAGCTCGACCGGTAAATTGAGAGCTTCGCCTTTTGACTCAGCTCTCTCTTCACCACGACTGACCGGTACAGCGCCCGCTTCACTGCCGATGCTGCACCTATCCGTCTATCTATCTCCTGCTCCATTTTGCCTTCATTTGTGAACAAGGCCCCAACATACTTAAACTCCTCCACTTGGGGCAAAACTTCCTCCCCGACCTGCAGAGGGCACTCTACCCTTTTCCGGTTCAAGACCATGGTCTCAGATTTGGAGAAACTGATCCTCATGCCGGCCG